AATAAATATAAATATTAAATTAATATTAAAAAAATGATAAATAAATGTCCTTTCAAATTATTATTGCAAATATATAGTACCGGATATTTAGAATTTATTGTTTAACCGATAATTAGACTGTATCCTTATGTATTATTTTGACGTTGTGAATCCAAATTCAATATTCAAATTATTCCTTCGCGTCACAATTTTATTATCAACGGAAAATAAATCGATTTTCTGATATTTTTAGAACCATTTTCTACAGGCAAGTTTTTAATATACTAGCTATAATAGATAAAAAAATGGCTGTATTATAATTAAATTCACAAGATAGCATAACAGATGTCTAGATACATTTTTACATATTTAGTAAATCGCTCGCTTAAATTAAATATTTCGTCGATAAAAAATTATTACATAATGAAACAATGTAGATATTTGATTCATTTCAGGATAATGATTGCGTCAAACGCTATTGACAGTGCTGCCGCATCATGTCGCTCGTATTGACCAGTGTTTTACCGCAAAATATATACATATATATAAAACTCAATATAACCTAATTTATTCTTTTCCTACGTTGCTAATCCAGATAAAAGGATTCAATATTACCTAATAATTGTTTAATTCAGCGCATTAATATGTAAATGATATATGAAAAATAAAAACATGTCAAATCTGTCGACTAAATGTCAAATCATCGCTTCTTGCCTCTTTTCATGTGAGTCGTTTTAATATTTCTTAAACGAAAGTAACCACGTGATCTTTTTGTCGCTAAACCGCCAGTTTGAGCGACTCATGAAAAGGCACCTTAATAGTTTGAAAATAAAGATAATGAATGAAACAGATCAAAGCGAAGTTAGGAGATAGCCATAACATCTATATTTCTCGAGAATATCGCAATTTCGTAGCCCGATTTCATAATTACTATCCTCGACGATATTACAGATTATCTATCAAATGAGGTACATTTTCATTCAATTCTCTTTTTTGACTGAATAAAGAATCATTTATATTGGCTATAAATTATTAATTTATGTTATAAGCTAAGAAATTGACCAATCACAATATTGAATGTGAGAAGAATAAAGTTGATTATTTTCCTCATTTGACTATGATTAATTTCTTGTAACTTTACGGCATAAGTTAATAGTTTGTGACCAGTATAAATAATTTTTTAGGACTTCAACACAAAGATGATCGTGAAACGTGAGTCGTATATATAGATATAATGTTTGATTAACCTACAACTACAACTTATGTTCTATGACTCATGGCTGTCTTTCTGTTTAGGCTTTAATTGTTTATACAGAAAAATATGTAAATATGTTAAATTATATGTATTTAAATATAACTTGTAGATACTTTAGGTAATTAGAATTTTATTAAATTCTTTTGATAGTTTTATACAATAAGGAACTGTATGATTGGAGTCTTGGATATTTTAATGTAAGAAGCATTGATCAGTGAAGATCTTACAATATTAAGCTTGTCTGTCATGAGGTATGTTTCATTATAATTTTCATGCTTTTGATTAAATAAAGAATCATTTATACTGACTATAAATTGTTAATTTATATTATTGTATAAGAAATTAACTAATCATAATCGAATATGTGGAAGTTTACTATTCTCCTCACATTTAACTGTGAATAATTAATTCTTTATAGCCTACAGTATAAGTTAACAATCCACGGCCAGTATAAATGGTTTTTTAGAGTCTTAGCACAAAGATAATCATAAATGAATCGTGAAACTTAAGTTGTAATTATAAAGATAAATACACATAATGTTTTGATCAGCTTACAACTACAACTTATGTTCCATTACTCAGTTACGGAATTATCTTTATGTTTAGGCCCTAATTGTTTATACAGAAAAGTATTAAATTTATATGTATTTAAATATAACTTGTAAAGACTTTAGAACTTAATTAGAACTTCATTAAATTTTTTTAATAGTTTTATATAAAGAGAAACTGGAATTTGACTTCCTGTGTGATTGGAATCTTGAGTTATTATATAAAAAGCATTGATCAGTGAAGGCCTAATAGATGAACAAAAGAACCAACACAACAATTTATAAGCATATGTTGCATTGTAATGCTTAGTGAGATTCAAAGTGCTTAAGATTTGGTAATGCTTATGTTGTGAAAATAATTATTTTTTTATAATTAAAATAGAAAGGAAGTAAGACAATGAGTAAGATTTTAGGAATCTTAAGAGCAAAAGTAATTAGTGGAACTACCATTCCTACTGCAATCGCTTCCAATCCATCTAATTTAAATGAAATTGAGGAAGAAATTAAAAGATTAGAACAAGAACAAGAAGAATATGATAAACAAGCAATAAATGATTATCAAGAAAGATTGGATGAAGAGGAACAAGAGGTCAAAAGAGGGATATATGATGGGGATTTAAAAAAAAATATCAAAGCAAGAAAAAAAGCTCTAGATGATTTTAATGCAATTGCTCCCAATTCAACGTCTGATTTCTACCTCAAATTAAAGGAAGTTGAAGAAGAAATTCAAAAATTAAAACTAAACTGTGAAGAAAGTGATATACAAGCAATTGATTATTCAGCAAGATTGTATGAATTGGATGAACTGGAACTAGAGGCCAAAAAAGATGAAATATATGATGGAAATTTAAAAGAACATATCAAACAAGCAAGAAAAAAAGTTATAGACTGTAATGTAATTATTTCCAATTCATCTAATTTAAGAAGAAAGAAAATTGAAGAAAAAATTAAAAAAATAGAACAAGAACAAAAAGAAAATGAAAAACAAACAATTATTAATTATCAAGCAAGTTTGCATGAATTGGATGAATTAGAACTTGATGCCAAAAGATATGGACTATATAATGGAGATTTAAAAGAACATATCGAACAAGCAAGAAAATATGTTTTACATGGCTATGATAAATTACTTTTATTGATTGCTAAGCAAAATCTAACTTCAGAAATTGGTATTGATGTATTAGAAGCAGAAGATTTTATAGATACAACAAGACAATAGATACAAGAAATAATTCTGTTGTAAGGATGTCTTTTGATGATCAACCAGAAACAAGTCAAATACCTGTAAAATATAGTAATGCCTTAAAATAATATTTCAGGATCTGATGTTTTGAAACAATAATATTAGAAAAAAATAATATTAATAATCCATTAAACTTTATATTTTTTAACTCGAGTATAACAAATAATTTAATAATTAATAAATATTTAAATTTTCACTAAAACATTTATTATAAAAATAATACAAATTCTGTATTATTTTTTAATTTTAATTATTACAGTTAGTTATGCTATTTTTATTGACAGTCTTTATTAATATATATATATAATATAATGTTCTTATATAAGATCTAGATAGAAGTTCATAAATATTCATGCATTAACTATTTTTTTTTTTTTTTACAAAAGCACAAGAAAAATTGAAAAATTATATATTTTAACATCTTTTTATTGTCATATAATTCATAGTATAATTACCGAAGACTAAATATAAATTAAGAAACCAATGAATCCTATTTTTTTTAAATATTTCTGAATTTTTTGTCTTCAAATCAAAAATATATTTTTCGCATTCGAGTAATTTTTCAAAAATAATTTCATCATTTTATTTTGCTGATTTTTATTTTCTTATACACAGTATTGTAATGGCCAAGGAATGAGAGTAACTCATTATACTTGTAACGAAATTACTTTTTTGATAATTTATTAGTAACTGCGTTATTTTTTTTCTTTGGTAGTAACGAAGTTATATTTTTTTAGTAACATTAACGAATTTTACTTTTATCGTTACTTTGCATACGATTGGATACGACACAAGCCACTTACACTATAAAAAAATTTCGTAAATTTACACATGTAATAGATGTGAAAATTACATGATTAGTCCTGTAAATATAATATAAAAAATCATGCAATTTTACAGAAATCACGTATTTCCACCAAAATTATGTAAATTTACTTTTTTGTGTAAATATATCTTAATTTATGAAAAACTATGTAAATAGCAGGATATTTTAAATATTTTCTGTAATTATCCAAATTTAATATTACAAATTTAATATTATTTAATATTAAAATTAATATTTAAAATTACAGTAATTTTTCGCGTATTGCTGTTAAATGTATGATATACAAGATGTTCCAAAATAATCAAATATTTCATTGGCAGGTAGAACTCAAATTCGACTAAATTGAGTCGAAAAGCCCTATCATTTTGCAATTTTTGCAATAGTTAACAAGACTTTAATTATTAAAAATCGCCAGACATTAATTTTTCAATAATTTTTTACTTAAGTACTACTATCAACTTTATAGAAAAACAGCAAAGACAAAAATTGTTTATTTTCTTCTCATAAAATTAAAAATTTTTTCAGAATTTTTTATCTTTTTAGTATTGTATTTTTTCTTAGTATTGTATTGGCTATTTTTAGTAAACGTAACACGAGAAAATATGTGGTACTTTTTCTGTAAAATTGATAGTATTTGAGTAAAAAATTATTGAAAACCGATTTTCGGCAATTTTTAGTAATTAATATCTTATGAACTAAGTATTTCAAAAATTACAAAATGATAGAGGAACTTTTCAAATCAGTTTAGTCCGTTCTACCTGCCCTAAAACATTTGGCGATTATTTTGGGACACTGTATAGTGTGAAATATATTGTCATATTATCGTTCGTAACTACATATTATAATTGTACTTTCACAATCTGCTTAGTTGCCAAGAAATTATTTTTATTTGCATATTGCAAATTTACAAACGCATGGACGTTCACAACTATTATAGTGAGTCTCAAAATTACCCACTATAATAGTTGTAATTTCACACAAACATTTTTTACTATAATAGCGCTTGAGACTAGAAAGTCTCTAGACCCGTTCATTGTGATTGGCGGTCATCGATTTTAAAAAAGTAACGAAAAGTTACTTTCTCAAATAATAGTAACCGTAATAAGTTTAAATAGCTTTTAAAAATCGATAACTAGAAACAGTAACTTAAACAATTTCTACTCGGTAACGAGTAACAGTAACTTGGTATTTTTAAAAAGTAATTTTTCATTCCCTGTACATAACATGTGGGCGTCTTTTGAATTATATCAATGAAAAATGATAATAGATTCATCATCGATTTCATCATCTTTCTCACTGGGATCAAAGATGCCCTCAAAAGTCTTAAGATGCTTTTTCATGCTGACGCTCGATGCTATTTTCAGCGTTAGAACAGGTCACGTGATTAAAATTGATGCTTGATATTCATTAATTTCTATCGCATTTTTCATTGGAATACAGTCCAAAAGAGGATACGTCCATATGTTATGTGCAGGGAATGGAAAGTTACTTTTTAAAAGTACCAAGTTACAGTTACTTGCTACCGAGTAGAAATTGTTTAAGTTACTATTTCTAGTTACCGATTTTTAAAAGTAAAAGGCACCTTTAGACTGACGTCCCATCCACCAATCGCAGAAAAGAAAGCAGAGTAATGACTGCAGAGTTGTAATTGGTCGCACTGTTCCGTTCCACTATAAATTTCTGTTTCTTGGGACGTCAACTTTAGTTATGTACGATATCCTGAACGATATCTTGAATGTCCGAAGGGCGTTTTACTTTTAGCATAGCTGCGGTAGGATGTCTATAAGACATTCGAAAGATATATTCAGGATTGGATCACAAAATTCAATTATGTATGTTTAACATTTCTCTATACATCATGAACATACATTTGAAATTCGAGCATTGATGTTTTTTATATTAAGTAAGACATTTTGAAGTTGTCTTAAGGACATCCATTAAATGTTTAGAGGATGTTTGTGTATGCGCCGCTATATGTGTCCATATAAGCTTGGAATATTATTATTATAATTATTAATATCATCGTTATTATTACTATTATTGCCGTTATTGAATCATCAATGTAGTGATATATTGACATACAATTATAATTACAGTATAAAATGTGTATATAAAATTAATTTAAGTAATCACAATCAATTATTCTCCTCGTATTCGACTGTAGTTAGTCAATTTCTTACGGCTTAAGGCTTAAAACATCTATCTAGTAGATCCGGATAGTTCGATTACAGTTCGAATGCGAGAATAATCGATTGTGATTTGTCCATTTCTTAAGGCTTAAAAATCTATTGTAGATTCGGACTAATTAGTCAATTTCTTACGACTTAAGACTTAAAACACCTATTGTAGATCAGGACTAAGGCTCGGTTGCATCAAAGTTACTTTGATTTTAAACGAATCTTAAAACTCTCTATCTCGTTTTAACCGAAAAAAGACAAAGAGAGAGTTTTAAGTTTAAAATTAAAATACGTTGGTGCAACCATTTAAAGCGACTAGACATGCTTGCCGATCGAATGAACATGATTAGTTCTTACCTGTGGATCCAACCAATCATATTTAATTACTCAGCGAACAAATCTAGGTCCAATTTCACTTATAGTTAATTTTTAACCGAGATTTAACTTATTTCTCATCTCTTTCCAATTCTAGAGCATTAGAAAGAGATAATGAAAAAGTTGAATCTCGGTTAAGAGTTAATTGTGAAACTGGACCCTAGCCGCTTTGTTAACTTAAAAAACGTAATCAATGTCAATAGGCGCGTTCAGTTGACAAAGCGATCGCGTTCAGCAGATTCAACTGTTGCGGAGCGGGTGAGATTTTATTTTTTTTAAGCTCATTCTATATTAAGCCATTCTACATTAGTTGCACGCTGATCGTAAATTTGTTGCGACAATATGAAGCATTGATTTCAAAATGCAAGTTTCAGATTGGCTGTCGCAACAAACCGGCTCTAGACGCAAGCCAATCATAAGTTTGTTACGACAGCCAATCTGAAGCGTTGATTTTAAAATGCAAGCGTCATCTATAATAAACAGCAGTAGACTGTAGAGCTGTAAACACATTGGAAGTAAACTGATTTTCCGGCTCAGCCAGAAATGATTGATTGCTCAACGTCAAATCGTTGCTCGATGTCAAATCGATGTTAATTCAACATCGATCGACGTTAATTCACTCAACGGAATCTGCTGAATGCAGCCATTGGCTAGCCTGCTCATCAAGCAAATGATTGATTACGAGTACGGTCAACGCGATGCTGCAAACGCTTTGAAGCGGTTTTTAACTGGTCAGTTTGTAAAATTCTTTTTTCTAATTGGTCCATCAAATGCTTTAAAGCATTTGTAGCGAGACTTTGATCACAGCACTATAACCTATCACTTATAAATTTAACCATTCACATTCAATCGGCGAGCAGGCTAGTCTCTTTGTCCGGCTTGAACGCATCCTATGATTTTGTCCCAATAGCGTAGGACGCAGGAACGTTGAGACCTGCGCTTGGCTTGGCATGTTTAGTATCAGCTGATGGACTTGATGAACTCTTCCGTGTTGTGAAAAAAAGGAAAGGAAAACATAAGTGCCGCCGTGGAGTATTCATACCGTGGCAGTACGTCGTGTCGCGTCGTCAATGTTGTAATATGCCGACGCATAACGTTGTCATCGAGGTAACGGCGCCGAACAGATCTTTCCGTTTTATCAGCTCATCTCCACTAATCCGCTGTCATCGTCAGAGATATCAAATTGTGTTTTGATTTGGTAAGTCTGATCTGTAAATCCTCGATCAGTGTCGCAATTCGTTAACATGTCGTCACGCAGCTTTAACGTTACGCATTGTGCTCATATAACGCATTAGCGCGACACTGCTATTAGAAAATCGTAAAGCATGCACGTTAGCAGATAATTTTCGAATCTATTAGCGAAATCAGTGATTTCACCGATCTGTTAAATGATCGTGTTTGCAGATTCGCTCGAGTAAGAGAGAGTAAGTAAGAGGGACGGGAGAAGGAGAGGATTAAAGAGAGATAAAGTAAGAGGTGAGATGCAATGTTATCGTAAATAAATATAAGTTTATATTGCGTACCTTCTGCATCACAGATCGTGGATTATTACTGTCCGTTATTTTAAAGTAAGTGTGGAAGGTCGCGACGTCGTTGGT